AGGGCTGCCGCTGGACACGAACCGCGAGCTGTCTGCAACAAGCGGCGAACGCGCTACCGCCCCCACGCGTCACCGCCCCAGATGTGAAAGTCAACAGTTGTGGTCATCTGGAAAGAATGGCGCCCGCCATGCGAATGTGGAATTGGCACCAACGAACTCAGGGCTCTGTGCAAAGGAAATTAAAAGCAGCCATCTGTTGGAGCAATCGGTGCAGTGGACCCAAAGATATGTCTTAGCTTCATTCATATGGGAGATGACTTATCATTTTAAAAATTGTGCCCAGTTATCTGTGCAGTTAACGCTCCTTCATCAAGATTGCGGGCCAACCGTGTTTGTGGTTATCTTCTAGACCTGTTCGTCAGGTCCCCTGCTATCGCCAAAGAATTAGTAAACAACAAGATCACGTTTAGCACGTAAACAAGATCACGTTTAGCACGTAGGCTTTCGCGACCATTATCATCCATAATACAGGTTGGGGGGGGGGGTTTGGGTAAGATCGCGTAAAAAAATATGTGTCGTTAAACCCGCCACCAGCCGACACACCTTACTGAACCTTACTAATTGGCTGTGTCGGGTCGTGGCGGGTTTAAGGACACAGTAATATATATTGACGCGATCTAATCCCCAAAAAAATCTGTATTCTGAACAATATCACGGTTGCTAAGCAAAGACCAAACACGCCAAGCGGCCAGACAAAAACAAAAAGGCACTGCTGAAGGTGTTAACTCGATAAGGGGTCACACGTTCCTGGAAATGACCGAAGTCATTGTTTTAATGACCTGGGGGGAAAGAAAGACGACAACGATGATGATGATGACGGGAGGAGAGAATTCCAAAGTGGAGCAGAGAGAGAAGTTGGGTGACCTGCAGTGTGGTGGGTGGGTGGGTAAGTGGGTTAGTGAGTGGTAATGTGTGTGGGTGAGTGGGTTAGTGAGTGGTAGGGTGTGTGGGTGAGTGGGTTAGTGAGTGGTAGGGTGTGTGGGTGAGTGAGTTAGTGAGTGGTAGGGTGTGTGGGTGAGTGGGTGAGTGGGTGGTAATGTGTGTGGGTGGGTTAGTGAGTGATAGGGTGTGTGAGTGGGTTAGTGAGTGGTAGGGTGAGTGGGTAAAGTGTGTGAGTGGGTGGTAATGTGTGTGGGTGAGTGGGTTAGTGAGTGGTAGGGTGTGTGGGTGAGTGGGTTAGTGAGTGGCAGGGTGTGTGGGTGAGTGGGTTAGTGAGTGGTAGGGTGTGTGGGTGAGTGGGTTAGTGAGTGGTAGGGTGTGTGGGTGAGTGGGTTAGTGAGTGGTAGGGTGTGTGGGTGAGTGAGTTAGTGAGTGGTAGGGTGTGTGGGTGAGTGGGTGAGTGGGTGGTAATGTGTGTGGGTGGGTTAGTGAGTGATAGGGTGTGTGAGTGGGTTAGTGAGTGGTAGGGTGAGTGGGTAAAGTGTGTGAGTGGGTGGTAATGTGTGTGGGTGAGTGGGTTAGTGAGTGGTAGGGTGTGTGGGTGAGTGGGTTAGTGAGTGGCAGGGTGTGTGGGTGAGTGGGTTAGTGAGTGGTTGGGTGTGTGGGTGAGTGGGTTAATGAGTGGTAATGTGTGTGGGTAAGTGGGTTAGTGAGTGGTAATGTGTGTGGGTGAGTGGGTTAGTGAGTGGTAGGGTGTGTGGGTGAGTGGGTTAGTGAGTGGTAGGGTGAGTGGGTAAAGTGTGTGAGTGGGTGGTAATGTGTGTGGGTGAGTGGGTTAGTGAGTGCTAGGGTGTGTGGGTGAGTGGGTTAATGAGTGGTAATGTGTGTGTGTGAGTGGGTTAGTGAGTGGTAATGTGTGTGGGTGAGTGGGTTAGTGAGTGGTAAGTGGTAATGTGTGTGGGTAAGTGGGTTAGTGAGTGGTAATGTGTGTGGGTAAGTGGGTTAGTGAGTGGTAATGTGTGTGGGTGAGTGGGTTAGTGAGTGGTAGGGTGTGTGGGTGAGTGGGTTAGTGAGTGGTAGGGTGTGTGGGTGAGTGGGTTAGTAAGTGGTAGGGTGTGTGGGTGAGTGGGTTAATGAGTGGTAATGTGTGTGGGTGAGTGGGTTAGTGAGTGGTAGGGTGTGTGGGTAAGGGGGTTAGTGAGTGGTAATGTGTGTGGGTGAGTGGGTTAGTGAGTGGTAGGGTGTGTGGGTGAGTGGGTTAATGAGTGGTAATGTGTGTGGGTGAGTGGGTTAGTGAGTGGTAATGTGTGTGGGTGAGTGAGTTAGTGAGTGGTAGGGTGTGTGAGTGGGTTAGTGAGTGGTATGGTGTGTGGGTAAAGTGTGTGAGTGTTATTTTGTGACCTGCAGCGTGGTGACTGAGTGTGTTGTGACCTGCCATGTGGTTAGTGGGTGAGTTAGTGAGCGGTAGTGTAAGGGGTCATCCACTTAGCAGGTACGCAAAAATCCGTCAAGATTTGACCCCTCCGCCCCTCCCTGTAGGCACGCGAACATTTTACTCCCTCCCCCCCCCCACCTGCGTAGGTTCGCCTGACCCCCCCCCTCCAATCCTATAGAACGGCCGATATTTAATCCACGCAGAAACGATCAAGGATCAATAATAGTCACGTGTTTCAGCAAACAGATAGTCCACCACCGGCTGCGTTCAATAATTAAGTTGCGTACCTTGGCCACTTATGTTTGCTGAGCTGCGTGATAGCTGCAGTCAGGGGCACGGTGGCACACAGAGAGTGACAGCTCTCCCACAGACCCACTTCATCCGCTAGTACTCGTTGTCTGACAGCTGAAGACGCTGAACTGTGGCTCATTCGGATGCCAATGTCGACAAATTATTATCGAGCCTTCACCCCCCCCCCCTCCGTCCGTTTCCGATGCGTTCGCACATTGTCAGTAGACCCCCCCCCCCATACACAAGCGAACGCATTTGGATTAACCCCCCCCCTCCATGCGTACGTACTAAATGGATGGCCCCGAAGTGTGTGAGTGGGTGAGTTGTTGTGACTTGCAGTGTGGCGAGTGTGAGAGTGTGTTTGTGACCTGCAATGTGGTGAGTGGGTGGGTGTGGTGAGTGGGTGGGTGTGGTGAGTGGGTGTGTGTGGTGAGTGGGTGGGTGTGGTGAGTGGGTGGGTGTGGGTGTGTGTGGTGAGTGGGTGTGTGTGGTGAGTGGGTGGGTGTGGGTGTGTGCGGTGAGTGGGTGGGTGTGGTGAGTGGGTGTGTGTGGTGAGTGGGTGGGTGTGGATGTGTGTGGTGAGTGGGTGTGTGTGGTGAGTGGGTGGGTGTGGTGAGTGGGTGTATGTGGTGAGTGGGTGTGTGTGGTGAGTGGGCGTGTGTGGTGAGTGGGTGTATGTGGTGAGTGGGTGTGTGTAGTGAGTGGGTATGGTGAGTGGGTGTTTGTGGTGAGTGGGTGGGTGTGGTGAGTGGGTGTGTGTGGTGAGTGGGTGGGTGTGGTGAGTGGGTGTGTGGTGAGTGGGTGGGTGTGGGTGTGTGTGGTGAGTGGGTGTGTGTGGTGAGTGGGTGTGTGGTGAGCGGTAGTGTAGTGGTGAGACCGCTGTGCTACGAACCCGGCATTCCGAGTTCGATTCCCGCTCACGGCCAACATCAGTGACGATTATCTGAACCGGTCCTGGGCCTCCCCTAGGTCGACTCAGCCACAAATGAGTACCTGGTGCGGTGTGTAAACATCGCCACTGGGGAGACAAAGGCGGCCGGGCGTGGTTCTGGCCACTCACCCCTCATGTGCCGTTCCGGCCTTCATAGCTGTTCGCTAACAGCACTTGACCCAACAGTCTGTTAAGGCTATATGGGGGATATTTGTCTTGTGTCAGTGATTAGTGAGTGGGTGAGGGAGTGGGTGAGGGAGTGGGTGAGGGAGTGGGTGAGGGAGTGGGTGAGGGAGTGGGTGAGGGAGTGGGTGAGGGAGTGGGTGAGGGAGTGGGTGAGGGAGTGGGTGAGGGAGTGGGTGAGGGAGTGGGTGAGGGAGTGGGTGAGGGAGTGGGTGAGGGAGTGGGTGAGGGAGTGGGTGAGGGAGTGGGTGAGGGAGTGGGTGAGGGAGTGGGTGAGGGAGTGGGTGAGGGAGTGGGTGAGGGAGTGGGTGAGGGAGTGGGTGAGGGAGTGGGTGAGGGAGTGGGTGAGGGAGTGGGTGGGTGAGGGAGTGGGTGAGGGAGTGGGTGAGGGAGTGGGTGGGTGAGGGAGTGGGTGAGGGAGTGGGTGAGGGAGTGGGTGAGGGAGTGGGTGAGGGAGTGGGTGAGGGAGTGGGTGAGGGAGTGGGTGAGGGAGTGGGTGAGGGAGTGGGTGAGGGAGTGGGTGAGGGAGTGGGTGAGGGAGTGGGTGAGGGAGTGGGTGAGGGAGTGGGTGAGGGAGTGGGTGAGGGAGTGGGTGAGGGAGTGGGTGAGGGAGTGGGTGAGGGAGTGGGTGAGGGAGTGGGTGAGTGTGTGGGTGAGTGTGTTGTTGTGTCTTGCAGTGTGGTGGTTGCGTTAGTGTATGTTGTCACCTGCAGTGGTGTGTGTTGTTGTGACCTGCTGAGTGGGTGAGTGGGTGGTAGGGTGAGTGGGTAAGTGTGTGAGTGTGTATGTTGTGACCTTGCAGGGTGAGTGAGTGGTAGGGTGAGTGGGTGTGAGTGTGCTGTTGTGACCTGCAGTGTGCTGAGTGTGTGAGTGAGTGGTAGGGTGAGTGGGTAAGTGTGAGTGTGTTGTTGTGACCTACAGTGTGTGTGAGTGAGTGGTAGGGTGAGTGGGTGGGTAAGTGTGTGTGTTGTTGTGACCTGCAATGTGCTGAGTGTGTGAGTGAGTGGCAGGGTGAGTGGGTGGGTAAGTGAGTGTGTTGTTGTGACCTGCAGTGTGCTGAGTGTGTGAGTGAGTGGTAGGGTGAGTGGGTAAGTGTGAGTGTGTTGTTGTGACCTGCAGTGTGTGTGAGTGGTAGTGAGTGAGTGGTAGGGTGAGTGGGTGAGTGGGTGGGTAAGTGAGTGTGTTGTTGTGACCTGCAGTGTGGTGAGTGGGTGTGTTGTTGTCTGGTGGACTGAGTCCTCAAAATGAGTGGAGGAATCAATGAATGAAGTTCATGAGAACAGTTTTAATACATTCAGCTTGTAACACGCAGCAAAGTATTTGCTCACTCTCAAAGACTGAGAACAACTTAGAGGCGCGAGAAGCCAGACAAGTGGAATGGAACTCTTTGCTATGATTGTTTACGTGCGGGTGCAAACCGGATCACCTGGAGGAAAGCCGCGCGTGCGAGGGGCAGCGCTCTATCCCATAGAGACGGGACAGATGGGAGTCTGCTGTAGCGTGGCGAGCCAGAATTTGGCTCCTCGTCGACACCCACGGGAAGGGAGTTTCACGACATCCGTGTGGGATCCACCGACCCTCGCTGCCTCCAGTGCAGGATTACAGGCCCCGTGCAAAGCTACCACAATCAGGATCTGTATTTTATTAATTCGATCAGCATCTTTATATATCCTGGAGGATTCCGATGAGCTATGCATCTCTTTGTTCACAGATGTCCACTTGTGGCGGGGTAAGTGAACTATAAACTGTTTAAACTGTTTTATTTTAGCGTAGCAGCAGTCGAGTTTTTACCAAAGTGCATGAGTCAATGGACTAATATGATGGTGCAACAGACGACTCCGTTTTTTACTTGAATACAAAACCCACAAGTCAGAACATGCTGCCCGGACAGAAGCTCCCTTCTCTTAACTCTGCTGCCCGCATATGGAACTGCCTCCCTAATGAGCACATTGTTGGCGAGATCACCGATTCTGGTCTTCACACCTTCAAACGCCGAACACGCACACACACGCACACACACACATAGTCTTTGAGCTGCAGTGAACTAATGAGCATGCCGATTAGGGATGTACTCGTGTCTGATGTGGCTGTTGTTCACATTTGCACCCAAAAGAAAATCAAATTGCCGGGCCAGTTCAACATTGCCACCTTTATTTCAATGGAATATGATAGCGGGTAAAGTGCTGGCTCACAGCGCCGTCTTGCGGTATATTTTCGTAGCACAGGCAACACGTACAAGTTGATATTTTGTGTAACCCAAGGTGAGCGATGCCAGGGATTTCGTGGTCTCATTTGCAAGATGGACCTGGGGGGTCACCCAAACAACACAAGTGAAGCACACGCAGGCAATGACGTGCGCCGTCACATCTGTCCCGCACTCCAAGGTTATTTTATATTTAAAGAGCGCAGTCACTCAAGGCGCTTGGCATAGTTTGCAAAACGTTGACAGGATAATAGAATCGTGATTGAGATGGCCGAGGAATGAGTGACACCACGATGGAGGGGTGCACGGGGATCGCGAAAGGGGTAGTGGGGGGAGTGACGGGAAGAGGAAGAGAATGCGCAATACAGAAGAGGCAATATAAACATCTAAAGTATTTTCCAACACGCTAGATGCCAAACAAAGGTCCCCCGTATAGCCTCAGCAGACTGCCGGGGCAAGCGCTGTCGGCGAGCAGCACCTTTGAACACGCGCGCGATGAGAGCGAGCGATCCCAGCAGCAGACGGCACCGTGGTGGGCGGGGGTCGGGCAGGTTCGAGTCGGGGTTGGGATTGGGGGTAACGAGGATCAGGCCTCCTCCGTCGTCTCCACCACGAGGACGCCGTCGTGGCACAGGAGGGCTCGCAGGTGGCGCGCGCTCACCCCGGCGGGCAGGGCGTGGGCGCGCGTCACGCGGCGGGCGCACAGCCCCTGCGCGTCGAAGCGCGGCGCGTGCTCGGCGCGCAGCAGCAGCCACCCCTCGCACACCTGCAGCAGGACGTCCTCGGGGCGGAACTGCAGCAGGTCCAGCAGCAGCCGGAAGCGCGGAGGGCCCGGCGGGTGGGGCGCCGCGGCGGGCGACCGGGGCCCGGATTCGTGAGACTCGGACTCGGGAGAGTTTGGCCTCGGAGGCCCCGACGTGCCGGAACTTGGAGTCCGAGATCCCAAGCCACGAGGTTCTGGCCCTCGTGATCCAGCGTCGAACTTCTGGGATTCACAGTCGTGAATCTCGAGCTCACGTGGCCCAGGTTCGCGAGACGTCCGCTGTCGGGAGCGCGACTCCTTGGCGGCAGACTCTCGGCCTCTCGGGGATCCAGAATTCGGGGATCCGGATTCGTGCAACCCAGATTTTTGGGATTCTGCCTTCCGGGGCCCAGACTCGCTTGGCTCCGGCTCACCCGGGGGCCTCGACGCGTCCACGGCCCGGCGGTCCCCGTCCAGCGCGACGGCCCCGGTAGCGACGCGCGGGCCGGGCAGGGCGAAGAGGTCGTGGCGGAGACGGAAGCGCTCGGGCTCGTCGAGGAGTCCGCTCGCCTCCAGGAGGTCGCCGTAGCGGACCGGCGTCTCGATCCAGAAGCGCAGGCAGGCGAGCGCCATGGTGCCCGCGCGCCCGCGTTGCGTCTCGCCCGACAACTCCCGGCGCGAGTGACAAAATTAGACGCCGCGGCCACTTGACACCGTCCCCCACCCCTGCCCCGCTCCCCCACTGCTCAGGGACACACAAGGCAAAGATATCCCGTGTAGCCCGTTACAGAGTGCTGGGGGCAAGTGCTGTTAGCGAGTAGCAGCGCCTTAGAAGGAGGGCACAGCACACGAGGGCGTGGGTGGGCAGCGCCACGCGCAGATGCATTCGTCTCCCGAGTGGCGATGTTTACACACCGCACCAGGTACTCATTTGCCGCCGAGTTTACTTAGGGGAGGCCCAGGACCGGTTCAGATAATTATCACTCGTATTGGTGGCCGTGGGCGGGAATCAAACTCAGGTGGCCGGGTTCGTAGCGCAGCGCGCTAACCGCTACACTGCCACAGGAGTGCAGTGATGATTATTTGAACTGATCCAGGGCCTCCCCTAGTTCAACTCAGCCTTAAATTAGTAGACGATACTGTGTGTAAAGATTAGCACTGGGGAGACAAAGGCGGTCGGGCGTGTACGCTGGCCATGCCAGCCGCTCGTGGGCCATGCCTGCCTCCATCGTTGCCCAATAACAGCACTTGCCCCAACAGCCTCGTCAATGGCTACACGGGGGACCTTTGCCTTTTTGGCAGCATTCAAAACCAAAGAGCCGTCCCAGCAACTCCGGGCCGGTCACCGGATCGTGGCGCCAGGTTCACCGTATCGTGGTGCCAGGTTCACCGGATCCTGGCACCAGGTTCACCGGATCGTGGTGCCAGGTTCACCGGATCGTGGTGCCAGGTTCACTGGATCCTGGCACCAGGTTCACCGGATCGTGGTGCCAGGTTCACCGGATTGTGGCGCCAGGTTCACCGGATCGTGGCGCCAGGTTCACCGGATCGTGGCGCCAGGTTCACCGGATCGTGGTGCCAGGTTCACCGGATCCTGGCGCCAGGTTCACCGGATCGTGGTGCCAGGTTCACCGGATCGTGGCACCATGTTGACTGGATCGTGGCGCCAGGTTCACCGGATCGTGGCGCCAGGTTCACCGGATCGTGGCGCCAGGTTCACCGGATCGTGGCGCCAGGTTCACCGGATCGTGGTGCCAGGTTCACCGGATCCTGGCGCCAGGTTCACCGGATCGTGGTGCCAGGTTCACCGGATCGTGGCGCCAGGTTCACCGGATCGTGGCGCCAGGTTCACCGGATCGTGGCGCCAGGTTCACCGGATCGTGGTGCCAGGTTCACCGGATCCTGGCGCCAGGTTCACCGGATCGTGGTGCCAGGTTCACCGGATCGTGGCGCCAGGTTGACCGGATCGTGGTGCCAGGTTCACCGGATCGTGGCGCCAGGTTGACCGGATCGTGGCGCCAGGTTCACTGGATCGTGGCGCCAGGTTCACCGGATCGTGGCGCCAGGTTCACCGGATCGTGGCGCCAGGTTCACCGGATCGTGGCGCCAGGTTCACCGGATCGTGGTGCCAGGTTCACCGGATCCTGGCGCCAGGTTCACCGGATCGTGGTGCCAGGTTCACCGGATCGTGGCACCATGTTGACTGGATCGTGGCGCCAGGTTCACCGGATCGTGGCGCCAGGTTCACCGGATCGTGGCGCCAGGTTCACCGGATCGTGGCGCCAGGTTCACCGGATCGTGGCGCCAGGTTCACCGGATCGTGGTGCCAGGTTCACCGGATCCTGGCGCCAGGTTCACCGGATCGTGGTGCCAGGTTCACCGGATCGTGGCGCCAGGTTGACCGGATCGTGGCGCCAGGTTCACTGGATCGTGGCACCAGGTTCACCGGATCGTGGCGCCAGGTTCATCGGATCGTGGCGCCAGGTTCACCGGATCGTGGCGCCAGGTTCACCGTATTGTGGCGCCAGGTTCACCGGATCGTGGCGCCAGGTTCACCGGATCGTGGCGCCAGGTTCATCGGATTGTGGCGCCAGGTTCACCGGATCGTGGCGCCAGGTTCACCGGATCGTGGCGCCAGGTTCACCGGATCGTGGCGCCAGGTTCACCGGATCGTGGTGCCAGGTTCACCGGATCCTGGCGCCAGGTTCACCGGATCGTGGTGCCAGGTTCACCGGATCGTGGCGCCAGGTTGACCGGATCGTGGCGCCAGGTTCACTGGATCGTGGCACCAGGTTCACCGGATCGTGGCGCCAGGTTCATCGGATCGTGGCGCCAGGTTCACCGGATCGTGGCGCCAGGTTCACCGTATTGTGGCGCCAGGTTCACCGGATCGTGGCGCCAGGTTCACCGGATCGTGGCGCCAGGTTCATCGGATTGTGGCGCCAGGTTCACCCGCTCAGCTTCATCGGCGCACGACGCATCCCGTGCCGGTCACAAACACTCGCAGTGGCAACATTCCAGAAACAGATTTACATCATTCGACTTTAATCACTTCAGTGTTTCGTTTTTCGCGTTGTTTTCCACTACCCACGATGATTACGACGTTGTCCAAAATTGGAATAAACTCTGGACTCTTTGCGACGTGGTGGCGACATACAGCAGACTTTGTTGTGTTGGGTATAAAAACATGAAGATGTTTTTGAAGATGTAACAGGATGCAGTGTCTCCATAGCGACAGGGACACATCGACAGGAATACTGACAGACAGCCGCACGGGAAAAAAAAAACAGATGGACAGATGGAGATCACTGAAGGCACGGGCAGACAACAGATAGACGCACGTAGAGATAGACAGCTCAGACAGAGATCCAAACAAAAGCCATACAGAACGACGGATGAACAGGCGGGGAGATCAAAACACGCAGTGCTGACGGCCGTGTGTTGTCCCACGGGGCTGCACAGTTTGCCTCCGGGTCCCCTCTGGCTTCCTCCCGTGGCTAAAAAAAAACAGAAAGACAAAGATTTGCCGTGTCGCCTTAACAGACTGTTGGGGCACGTGCTGTTAGCGAGCACCTACAGAGGCCGACACGGCACACCAGGGGGTGGGTGGCCAGCACCACGCCGGCCGCCTTTGTCTCCCCAGTGGCGATGTTTACTACCCACCGCACCAGGTACTCGTTTGAGGCTGAGTCGACCTAGAGCAGGCCCAGGACCGGTTCAGATAATGGTGGTGCCCGTGAGCGGGAATCGAGCTCGGGTCACCGGGTTCATAGTGCAGCGTGCTGACCACTACACTACCGCTCCCCATCACACACAAACAATGAAATTGGTATTGGACCAAAACATCTCAATGCGGAAAAAATTACACTGCAAATCTACTCAATTGGGATCACGCACACAGCACGAGTAGCATCAGTAGCATCAGTAGCATCAGTAGCATCATCATCAGCAGCAGCGACATGGCCCCCCATCATGTTAATAGCTGCAAGAACCTCCTGGAAACAGAAAAAAAAACACGTGGCTAGAGACTCGGTGAGAAATCCCTGGCTGAGTAAGCGTGCGTAATAATGCGAATAAATGATTTTAGTGACACGGGAGAGATGATGGCCCGAGTTGGCCCTTCTCCCCCCCCCACCCACACTCGGGTGTGAACTCCACCCCAATCCTTTCGACCGTGGGAGAGTGCAATCGTTCAGAGTGGCTCTCCTGGATCGAAAAAGAAAGCCTAAGATTTAAAAAATATATAAATTTGGTTTGTCGATCTGAGCGACGGCACTAGAAACAAATGGATTCGCGAATCCATCTACGCTGGCTGTTCCTCTGTGGTGGCGCAGCGGCGAGCGCTGCGCTGCGCGACGAATCCGGCGACCCGAGTTCCATTCCCGCTCACGGCCAACACCAGTGACGATTATCTGAATCGGTCCTGCGCCTCCCCTGGGTCGACTCAGCCTCGAATGAGTACCTGGCGCGGTGTGTAAACATCGCCACTGGGGAGACAAAGGCGGCCGGGCGTGGTGCTGGCCAGCCACCCCCTCGTGCGCCGTGCCAGCCTTCACAGGTGTTCGCTAACAGCACTTGCCCCTACAGTCTGTGAAGGCTATACAGGGGATCTTTGTCTTTGTTCCCCAGGTTCCTTCCACGTGGACAAACACCGCTGGAACAGATTCACGATTCATTTTCGGGTCAGATCGCGCGAGTAAAATCTGTGTCGTGCACCCTCCTCCACCCGACCCTCGGTGAAGCTTCCCTGGGTAAATCCGCACAGCAACAACAACAACCACCATCACGATCAGGGGTCGTCAACCTCAAGAGCCGCACACGCGGCTCTTCCAGGAGCCGCTTCGTGAAATCATTTATTAAGGACCACCTTGAACAAAAAAAAGGCTCTTCTAGTTATTTGGGTTGCCCGCCCACCTGTTCAACGATAAACTTCTAGCCATTCGTCCGACGGTGCGCACACGTACCCTACTTTGCCGTCGTCCGGCTAAACAGCTCGTCCTCTTCGTCCGACGACGGGGGGTTTCCCGGCTTCGCGGACGCGGGCGGCTTCAGCTCCTTGAGCCACAGCGGCTTCCAGGTCTGGGAGGAGGCCGCCGCCTTGCCGCGCTCCTGGCCCTCGAAGGGACGCAGCGCACACGCACAGACACACACACGCACACACACACACATCACACACACACACGCACACACACGCACACACGCACAGACACACACGCACACGCACACACACACACGCACACACACACGCACACACACACGCGCACACACGCACACTCGCACACACGCACACGCGCGCACACACTCGCACACACACACACCCACACACACTCGAACACACACGCACACACCCACACACGCGCGCACACTCGCACACACGCGCACAGACACTCGAACACACACGCACACACACTCGAACACACTCGCACACACTCGAACACACACGCACACTCGCACACACAATCACACACTCAAACACACGCACACACAATGCGCACACACTCACACACCCACACACACACTCGCACACACGCGCACGCACACTCGCACACACACACAATGCGCACACCCACCCACACGCACACTTGCACACACACACACACACTCGCACACACACGCAACGCGTACACACACGCACGCGGCGTACATTTATATCGGGCAAAGGCGCAGCCCTGCAACTTCTCGGTCACGAGCCGCTGCTGGCGGTAGGGGGGGGGGGGCTCCGTTAGGGTGCCGCGCTGGTGAGATGTTGACTACCTCGCCTGGTACACAGGAGGTTTTGGGTTCGATCCCGACGCCTGCTGAATATTTGCAGTGTGCATGTATTCCCCGCGGTCGAGTGGAATTTTTTTTCTCCAAATTTAGAAACGTGCGTTCATATTATTTGGTTGCTATAAATTTCGACACGGTAAGCAACTTCGTTGAGGCATCATTTGTGGCCAGGTCGCTTCTGAAAAAGAGCTACATAGCTCAGTCGGCTTTACCTGGTGAACTTAAAAAAATGGTTTAATTGATAGTTTAGACGGGAGCTTCATAAAGCGTGTGCTTTGGTCTACTCTTCCACGATGGCCAGACGTCCACATTTTAACCCCACGGGAACGCGACCTGCAGATCTAATTATTATTATCATCGTCGTCGTCAGACAAGATTTATCCACAGCTGGATAAAGGCTACGGTTTCCCGTGCCTCCGGATCTCTCTCCCTCCCTCTAAACCCTCTCTTCCGTCCGTCTTTCTTTCAGAGAGCAAACAAAAAAAAACTGCGCGCATTACCGACTCTAAATTACTTTTAAAGAAATGTTACCTCAACAAGCGCGGATGGGGGCAGACGCATCATCATCATGCGCACGATAACTCACCCCGCTGGGCTCGGTGGGCAGCTGGCTGTAGCCTTGCGTAGTAGACCTGGGGGCACAAGCAGAGGCACCCACCACAGCGCCGTTTCATTCCTCATCCGCGCCCAAAGTCGAGCGGCCGTTCACGCCAACATTTGTCACCCTCGCGATCTTAAATCGGCTCGAGCCTCCCGTAAACCACGTGACTTCAGTGTGTGGCCAGCCACCACTCCGAGTCACTCCCGTCTACATCTCTCTGTCTACTCAGTCGGCTCGAGCCTCCCGTAAACCACGTGACTTCAGTGTGTGGCCACCCACCACTCCCGAGTCCCTCCCGTCTACATCTCTCTGTCTACTCAGTCGGCTCGAGCCTCCCGTAAACCACGTGACTTCAGTGTGTGGCCACCCACCACTCCGAGTCCCCCCCGTCTACATCTGTCTACTCCGTCGGCTCGAGCCTCCCGTAAACCACGTGACTTCAGTGTGTGGCCACCCACCACTCCGAGTCCCTCCCGTCTACATCTCTCTGTCTACTCAGTCGGCTCGAGCCTCCCGTAAACCACGTGACTTCAGTGTGTGGCCACCCACCACTCCGAGTCCCTCCCGTCTACATCTCTCTGTCTACTCAGTCGGCTCGAGCCTCCCGTAAACCACGTGACTTCAGTGTGTGGCCACCCACCACTCCGAGTCCCCCCCGTCTACATCTCTCTGTCTACTCAGTCGGATCGAGCCTCCCGTAAACCACGTGACTTCAGTGTGTGGCCACCCACCACTCCGAGTCCCTCCCGTCTACATCTCTCTGTCTACTCAGTCGGCTCGAGCCTCCCGTAAACCACGTGACTTCAGTGTGTGGCCACCCACCACTCCGAGTCCCCCCCGTCTACATCTGTCTACTCCGTCGGCTCGAGCCTCCCGTAAACCACGTGACTTCAGTGTGTGGCCACCCACCACTCCGAGTCCCTCCCGTCTACATCTCTCTGTCTACTCAGTCGGCTCGAGCCTCTCGTAAACCACGTGACTTCAGTGTGTGGCCACCCACCACTCCGAGTCCCCCCCGTCTACATCTCTCTGTCTACTCAGTCGGCTCGAGCCTCCCGTAAACCACGTGACTTCAGTGTGTGGCCACCCTCCACTCCCGAGTCCCTCCCGTCTACATCTCTCTGTCTACTCAGTCGGCTCGAGCCTCCCGTAAACCACGTGACTTCAGTGTGTGGCCACCCACCACTCCGAGTCCCTCCCATCTACATCTCTCTGTCTACTCAGTCGGATCGAGCCTCCCGTAAGCCACGTGACTTCAGTGTGTGTGGCCACCCACCACTCCGAGTCCCTCCCGTCTACATCTCTCTGTCTACTCAGTCGGATCGAGCCTCCCGTAAGCCACGTGACTTCAGTGTGTGGCCAGCCCCCACTCCGAGTCCCTCCCATCTCCCCGTGGCCCTCCGTGGAAACAAGGCGCCGTGGCTCCTGCGCTCACAATCCGCAGAACAGGCGGAGAACTACAAACTGCACGCTGAAAGGTCATCGGCTGTCGGGAATTGAACCCGGGGCCCTCCTTGCAGGCCAGGCGCCAAGTCGCTTTGTGCCGCACAAGGACGGCTGCCACGGGGGGGGGTGAACCGTTCAGAAATGACACGATAGAGATACGATAATGCGAGTCGCTTGGCTCGTGAGACGCGCTCTGTGCGCGTGTATTACGTTGAACTTCTTTGGCACCGTACGTAGCCAACCGCGCTAATCGGAGGTGCGGGGGAACAACAACAAAATTAGCACAAAATGCAGCTCTAAAGAAACGAGTTTGTCAATCTCGATTATTTAAAAGTGCATCACAGCTCCCAGTGGCTTCCTAATATCGGAAGGGAAGAGCGTTCCAGACGGCCGCGGAAGCGCGCCTGAAAGCGCCGTGCAATGCGGTGACCGCCGCCTTTGTTCGATGGCTGAGCCAAAAGCCGCTGCTGCTGCTGCGAAGATGAGCGGAGTTGGCGTGGTGGGAGTGGTGGTGGTGGTGGTGGTAGTGGTGGTGGTAGTGGTGGTGGTAGTGGTGGTGGTAGTGGTGGTGGTGGTTTACTACCCCTTGACGACATCAGCAGCGAGCTGTCGCGGTTTGGAGATGCCACCGGCCATAGAGGAGGGCGGATGGCCTCTACCGGGCACACAAGTCGTCGTTGTCGTCGTTGTCGTCGTCGTTGTGTGTTCGTCGTCGTCGTTGTTGTCATCGTTGTTGTTGTCGTTCTTGTCATCGTCGTTGTTGTCATCATCGTCGTTGTTGTCGCTGTTGTCATCGTTATTGTTATCATCGTCATTGTTGTTGTCATCATCGTTGTTGTCATAGTCGTTGTTGTCGTCGTTGTTGTTGTCATAGTTGTTGTTGTCATCGTCGTCGTTGTTGTTGTTGTCGTTGTTGTCATCATCGTTGTTGTCATTATCGTCGTTGTTGTCGTTGTTGTCATCGTTGTTGTTGTTATTGTCGTCGTTGTTGTTGTTGTCGTTGTCGTCGTTGTCATCGTCGTTGTTGTCATTGTTGTTGTTGTTGTTATCGTTGTTGTTGTTGTCGTTGTCGTTGTTGTCGTTGTTGTTGTCGTTGTTGTCGTTGTTGTCATCGTTGTCATCGTCGTCGTCACCGTTATTGTGACCACTGGGACAGACGGAGGAGGAGGGGGTGATGATGGCTCACCCGCGCCGGGAGCCTCCCTCGCCTCGCTTGTTCTGGGTGCACAGCTGGGGGGGGGGGGGGGGCAGAGGGGGTGGGAGGGGGTGGGGGGCGAGAGGGGTGGCGTTAGTACAATACTTACTTATACTGGTAGGAACTAAGTTGTAAACTGAGTGTACCAGCATGCAATAGATTAATGTGTCCGTCCGTCCGTCCCCTTTCAATACTTTAACGAAGTGAAATCTCGTGCTGTTAGGTGTAAAAATTCCAATGTTCCTACCAGCCCACCCTGCAGGGACCTGTTGTTACGATACAATTTCTTTTTATAAATAATGTTTACCATCTGTATTATTATCTTGAGCGCTATTGCCGAGGCCCCAGTGCAGCCCTCGTGTATGGCTCATTGCAAGTAAATGAAACGGTCGGGACTGCATCCCCATGGACACATGGGGGGATGCACTTCCCCTGGAACGCTTCTCAAGCGCTAAGCGAGGTCTGCCTGTATTCAGTTGTCACGACGTGGCGATCGTCGCGATATCGTATTGCCGTGACGCTGTCATGGTTATGTTTGTGCTGTTCAAATGTCCGCGCTCTGCTGTACATCAAGAAGAAAATGCAATTGTAATTCGTGCTGTTGCGAATACCATCGCAAATGCCACAAGTCAGGTCTCCCCACTCGTGTTGTGCGCAACGTTGATAGTTTAGATGCTCGCGAGATGCCAGTTTAACGCATAGTATCAGACTTTCACGACCAATATTTTCCATGATGGAGGTTTTTTTTGGGGCTAGATCCCGTAAATATCAATGTGCCGTTAAACCCGCCACCACCCGACACAGCCAATTAGTAAGGTTTGCCACGTAAATAAAACGTGCCAATTCGTGTACTAGTACAGCACACCAATGTGTTGGAGAGTCAACCCATAACATTTACAATTCGAGTGCGACGTTTCGCCAGTAATTACAACAACGAGCATCATCAGGCAACAGCCAGATTTCCATTGTATATAGTTGTGGTTGTTTATTCGTCACGTCTATTTGATTAACCATTTCAGGTCTTAATTGATTGTTCACGCTTACAGTGGCTTTCAGACAGCGTACATTAATTTTTCGTCTCCCCCCTCCTCTTTTCAAAACATAGATGGACTAGTCCTTCTAAATAAACTGCAAAATCGCTGCGCGTGGCGCTGACGTTTTTTATACATAAATAAATACACCGTTTAAAAATAAATAAATGTATGCAAACCGACACACCTGATGACGACCGTTTGTGTTATGGTCGAAACGTCGTGAGAATTTATATTGTTTTATGTATATTTTATTATTTTATTGTTTCCCTTCAACGTGACTTTACCGAAAGAGCTAAGAATATGTGCTCACTACCGTTGTATCAGTCCGCACTGCCCATGTGATAACCACTCTGCTAGTACCGCCGAGAACACGAGTCCAAGACCTGGGACTGGGTGTCTCCGTCTCACTCACCCTCTCTCAGGGGCTCGTGATGGCCAGGTCAGAGCCACTGAGCGGACACCGCTGCTGTGGCTCCTAGACTCCACAATACATCGTGGGACCTCCTTTGCCAGTAAAAAAAAATATGACAATAGGTTTTCCCCTTTTTTCTGGCAACAAAACAGTTGTGTTAAGATGCTAAAACACCATGTCTGCATTAACCACAATACTTGTGGTCAGAATGCAAACAAAAAACATACTCTGATAATGTATGCATTGTCTTTGAAACTGATTGGTCCACACCAGAGAGAGCTTTCTTTAGTCTCAAACGGTGTTAGACCTAGAGGACGCCAAGGGAAGTGATGGCTCACCCTCGCGTCCTCTGGTCTAACACCGCGGCATAAACGCGCGTCCACTGCAGTTGGTCGAACGGCAAGGAGCGGCTTTGGTGGGTGTAAGGCGTGGGCCTGCTCCCACCTCTTCCAGCGTGAGAGCAGTCAACCCAAACACCACTGCCCGAGTGTGGCGCTCGACGGAACGCCTATTTACGCCAGCAGTGTCGCTCGTAAGCAATTGCATTGCTGCGCCTTTACCTTTTCAACGCCCACCCCCATTACCGACCTCGACGACGCAGATGAAGAAGATGATGACGATGGCGCCGACCACGATGCCAATGCCAACGAACAGCATCTTCTGATTGGCGTGAGGGTTCTCCTGGCTGTGTGAGCGGGGGTCCTGCATGCACCGTCACAGTCAACGTCCCGGAGTTTCTGAAATAAAACTATACACTTTTTGTGTTTACCACGTAAGGCCACAGAAAGGATCTCGGAGGTAGCTCTGTGAGCTCCCCTTCCTCCAGATTTCTTCTTCTTCAAGTGACCTCTTGCCCACGCCTGTAGGGGGCTGCACTTCCCATTCGCTCTGCTTGACAGTCAAACCTCAGTTGGTTACGGTGATGAAGAGGATTTGAGAGATGGTGGCAAATTTGATGGTGATAATATTATGATGATGGTTATAGAGATGGTGGCGAATGTGACGGTGGTGGTGATAACGATGGCAATAACGATGACGGTGGTGACGATGGATCATGATGGCGGTGATGACGTTGCGAGTGTGATAATGATGACGATGACAGTGATGATGGTGACGGTGGTGATGATGATGGTGGCGATTGTGATGTTGATGATGGGAGCGATAACGATGACAGTGGTGACGATGGTGGTGACGGCAACGCGCGATGGTTGTGTGGGTGACCGCACGGTCGATCCAGTGATCTCTTGAATTCCAAGTTTGTGGAGTATTTTTTTGACGAAATCAATTCCAGCGTCGTGGTGGTTAGCACTGTAGTTGGTGACGTCCTTACCGTGGTTTGTGACTTGGTTGGTGCTTTGGTTGATGTTGTGGTTGTCGCTGTAATAGTCACCGCTGGTACCACCTCCTTTGGCATCACTTCCTCCGCTGATGCCACCTCTGCCAGCGCCAATTCCACTGGTGCCTTCGCTGGTGCTACCTCCTCTGGTGCCACCTCCGCTGGTGGTGTGACCTCTACTGGTGCCACCACTGCTGGTGGTGCCACCTCGCCTGGTGGTGCCACCTCCACTGGTGGTGTGACCTCCCCTGGTGGTGCCACCTCGCCTGGTGGTGCCACCTCCCCTGGTGGTGCCACCTCGCCTGGTGGTGCCACCTCCACTGGTGGTGTGACCTCCCCTGGTGGTGCCACCTCGCCTGGTGGTGCCACCTCCCCTGGTGGTGCCACCTCGCCTGGTGGTGCCACCTCCACTGGTGGTGTGACCTCCACTGGTGCCACCACTGCTGGTGGTGCCACCTCAAATGGTGGTGCCACCCCCGACGACATCGCCGCTGGGGCTCCGCCACCCGGGGGGAAGAAGACGGTGGCGAGGAGGAAGAGCGGAGCGGCTGTCCTCCAAACGCTCCCCATGGTGCCACTGAGGGGGCGGGGACAGACAGAGAGTGAGAGAGCACGGGGCCCAGCCAAGTGCTTCCCCGCTCTTCCTCCAGGGCGAAGTGTGACCTCGGTGAAGGGGCACAGGAAGTTCCCCACGCTGGGGGAACGCGACCTGAGAATTGAGAATTGGTGTCTTTCAAGGCGATGTTGGTATGGAGTACGGATGTTGAACTCCTTGCGCACGGCAGCCAACCGTGCTCACTGGAGGTGCGATTAGCACGGCTGGCTACGAATTTCAGTGTTGTGTTTTAATTACGTTTAAGATAAATAAACATATAACGACTGTATATTGTAACTGTATTATATCATGGGACCGTTTTGGACAGAATAAAATCATGAAAAACAGGAGGTTTTACCCTTTCTGGCAATAAAACAGCAGGTTTCAGATGTTCAAACACCAAACAGAAACCTTTTGCAAGGAATCAAGTACTGCATTAACCACCCACCAACAATACTTGTGGTGAACATGCAAACACAACGTGCTTTGATAAAGATGAAAGGTATCCCATGATGGAGCTGCTTACCCCGGGCTATAAATGCCCTGCTCCGTGTGGCATTGTCTCTGTGCTGTTCACCTTTAGGCGCTGTTCTCTGGTCTGACACTGGTGGTGAGATTAAGCCATGAAGCAGGCTGCTGGCTCTGGTGAAGGACAATCAACTATGTTCTGTAGAAAAAAAAACCAAATCCTTAAATACGCACTGAATTTACGTGCACACGTCACCATTGTAAACATTGATATGCACCGTATCCTTCCCCAGGCCGCACTAACCAGCGCGGATGAAGTATGGACATATAACGCCCCAACCGCTGCCACAATCCGCACACGGCAGGGCGGGTTGCAGGAGGCCTTCATCCAGCAGTGGATAGAGAACAGGGCTGTATACAAAGTTACTTTGCCGTGAATTGAACTTTCAAAATATGACGTTGATCGTTTTGAATCGAGACGTTAAAATATCACGCGGAACTCTGTGTGTGGAACTTGAACGGAGAAATTTATCAGGCGACGTTTCGGGCAACGGTCCTTATTACCAGCACATAGAGAGGCCGGTAGAAAGATAGACACTCATTGTGGAACACCTTTAAACTAGTACGGTTGTTAATTAGTACTGCATTAGGTAGGTGAAGACAGAGGCGCAGCCCTGCAATAGCTGCCTCAAGCTTCTGTATACAGAAGGGGCCTCCATTCAAGGAGACCTCGAGTTAGAGGGTGTTTGGCCTACTCCTCCTATTGCAATATATATAACGACAAAGGTCACCCGTATATCCGAAACAGACTGTAGGGGCAAGTGCTGTTAGCGAGCAGCACCTATGAAGGCCGGCACGGCACACGAGGGGGTGGGTGGCCAGCACCACACCGGGCCGCCTTTGTCTCCCCAGTGGCGATGTTTACTACACGCCGTACCAGGTACTCACTTGAGGCCGAGTCGACCTAGGGGAGGCCCAGGAACGGTTCAGATAATCGTCACCGGCGTTGGTGGCCGTGAGCCTGAATCGAACTCGGGTGGCTGTGGTCTGTAGCGCAGTGCGCTAACCACTGCGCCACCGCTCCCCCACTCACACTCACACAGCTCACCTCGTCAATGTCTCAGGCCAATACGCCGATACAGCTCACCTCGTCAATGTGCAAGTGCGTGGAAGGGCGGCCACCACCACCACTCACAACAACAACAACAACACTCGCAACAACACTCACAACAACAACACTCACAACAACAACACTCACAGCAACAACAACACCACTCACAACAACAACACTCGCAACAACACTCACAACAACAACACTCACAACAACAACAACACTCACAACAACAACAACACTCACAACAACAACAGGTGCTGCAGGATGTGGCCGTCAGCCGCGGTGCAGGGCGGTTGTTGTGCTGTACTCACGCCTCTCGGCTATGCTGCCCGGCCTTCACCAACTCGCGTATTGACCAGCGTGGTGAAGTATGGTCGAACAACCCTCACCGTCCGCATAGGTACGGTGGTGGTGGTGGGGGGGCCTCCTCATCCAGCAGCGCCAACAACAAAGACGACAATAACAACGACAACAACAACAACGACAATAACAACAACAACGACAACTGACGACTCCCAACGGTCGGCAGAGTGGCGGGTGGACGGAAAGTCCCTATACCCTTCCAAGTTCGAATAGCAACGGTTTCCTTTGGGATTGGGGTATAGGGACTTCCCGCCCATCGTGAAAGTATGCGCGTTGTCGACCGGGGGGTTGGTGGATCACGCCCACATCGTGCACATTGCAACGGGGCTGCGAGGTAGTCAGCATTGGGCAGCACAGCAAGTAGACTGCTGATATACCGGGCATCGCAGGTTTACACCGGTGTTCGTGCTTGGATTGTATTCCACATTGGAAGCATCTTCAATAAAACAGGCATATTCTGTACAGTCATCATGATTGAGCTATTCTCTGTCCACTGCTTGATGAAGGGTTGTCCACCCCATGTGCCAGTTGTTGTAGTTTCGCTCTTGATCATACTTCACCAAGCTGGTCAGCACGAGTTGGTGCCGGTGTGGGGAGGCGTCGCGCCACTGAGTGGGTGGGTGGGTGAGTGGGTGGGTGGTTGAGTGGATCAATAAGTGGGTGGGTGAGTGGGTGGGTGGTTAAGTGGGCGGGTGGTTGAGTGGGTGGGTGAGTGGATGGGTGAGTGGGTGAATGAGTGAGTGGTTAAGTGGGCGGGTGGTTGAGTGGGTGGTTGAGTGGGTCAATAAGTGGGTGGGTGAGTGGGTGAATGAGTGAGTGGTTAAGTGGGCTGGTGGTTGAGTGGGTGGGTGAGTGGGTGAATGAGTGAGTGGTTAAGTGGGCTGGTGGTTGAGTGGGTGGGTGAGTGGGTCAATAAGTGGGTGGGTGAGTGGGTGAATGAGTGAGTGGTTAAGTGGGCGGGTGGGTGAGTGGGTGACTGAGTGAGTGGTTAAGTGGGCTGGTGGTTAAGTGGGCGGGTGGTTGAGTGGGTGAATAAGTGGGTGGGTGAGTGGGTGAATGAGTGGTTGAGTGGGTGGGTAGATGTTTGAGTGGGTGGGTACGTGAATAAATGATTGAGTGGGCGAATGAATAGGTGGGTGGTTGAGTGGGTGAATGAGTGGGTTGATGGGTGGTTGAGTGGGTGGGTAAGTGGGTGATTGAGAGATTCAGTGGGTGGGTGGATGGGTGGTTGAGTGGGTGGGTAAGTGGTTTATTGAGATATTCAGTGGGTGGGTGGATGGGTGAGAGAGACGTCCCCGATGGAGTGGCATGAGTGGCCGGGTCGGGGAACAATCAGGCCACTCGAGGATCGGGCTGCTCAACGTTTAATGGAGGAAGCACCTCGATACACCGGTCAACGGAGGTTGGGCAATCATCTCATTGAATGCACAGCGACGAGAAGGGTCAGATGGTTCCGATTAACATAAATTGAGGATGTCAGGGGAAATTCTTAAATTCTTATGATTGTTGCTACACGTAAGACCTCATCACCTTCCGGATTTGTAGATTTCACCCGCAGGAAACGGTCTCAAAAGTTACTTCTTCCAAGGCCCAGGCCCAGGTCAAACTTTGTCGCAAAGCCCGTTGTCGTGAACGCCCTGATCCGGGGATTTTCCTTCCAGGCCCGCCAGTCGTCCGTCACAACGAGTGCACCCCCACCCAGCCCCCCCCCCCCCCCCAAAATGGAACACGCTGTAGGCAACATGTCAAAGTAAGAGCAGCAAGCGTGCCCCTGCCGTGCCCCTGCCGTGCTCCTGCCGACCTCTCCTTCTCATCCCGCGCTGCAAGGGAGTCCACACGAGTCCGTCCGGGTAAGGGAACTTTATTGTTGCATTCAACTACAAACACCGACGCTCCTAGGGCAGGCACACTTGCGGGGCTCGAACTGTTGTGTTTGTATTCCACAAGAGCGCGGTACAAAGTACAGAAAGTAACAAAGGTGGAGGCACAGAAAATCCTGAAGTCGGTGCTCCTGGGTTTAGCGGAGGGTGGAAAAAATTGGGCCCCACTGCTCCCCCGGCTAGGGACTACGAGTGGGAGCGTGTTTTTTTTATGTGGGGGGAGGCAGGGGGGAAGAGGAACACAAAGGAAGGGGTAGCAGGGGTAGAGGGAAGGGAGGGGGGCACATAACTCTTATAAAAACTATTTATAATTTTACCACGTAAGACCCCACTGAGCTATGTAGCTCTATTTCAGAAGCGTCCTGGCTATCAAATGATAGCCCAATGAAGTGGCTTATCACGTGGTAAATGTATAGCAGCCAAATACTCTAAACGCACTTTGATTCTAACTGTGGAGAGAAATAACGGAGGACCCGGAGAAAATTCCACGTGACCATCTTGCCACCGCGGTGGCAAAATCTACAAAAAAAATCTACAAAACAGAATAACATACACAAGCCAAGTATCGCCGCAGAGCAGTGATTAACTCCTCTCCATCCCCAGGGAGGACACGGACAAGTGTTGTTTGACTTGCGGCCTTTTCTTCCCAGAGCCCCGAGCCTTCGTCTCGCTCTTCCCTACAAACCCCTCTCTCCTCCCCCACCCCCTCCCCCACCCCCTCCCCCACCCACTCCCCCACCCCCTCCCCCAAATCAAACGCCTTTCTTCAATTAATTATTTATTTATGTAGGTGTGACCCCTTGTGTGACCCCTACACTCAATCCTGGCCGTGTCCCCCGCTAGGCCCCTACAGTATGACGGGAAGGGCTCATGATGCAATGGGGACGTCTCGTTTTGGCGGTCCGCTCGGTCGGCCTCCTGTGATGCCGAGTGGAGAAACGCAGCGCCGCCCCCTCCACCCCGGCAACGCACCACGGCAGGCAGCTCGGTCTCACTCCCGGGGAGCGGACGCGGGACTCAGATCCAGAATCGTCAACGATTCCTTGTCGTCACCTAAACACAGCACGGGGTGCAGAGGGCGAGCGAACGCGTGCCGGAACGAGTGCAACAGCTCCAGGGTGTCCGTGCGGTAGAATGACAGCAGCCCCGCGTCCCAGTCCAGGTAGACCCCGACTCTGCAGGGAGGCCGCTCCACGGACAGTGAGGTCTTCGCCCCGTCATGGCACGCTGAGCAGCCATCGTCATTTTTCCATAAAATCCAGGACGTGCGATTGGAGCCGAGGCTCGAAGTGCCGCTCCCTTTCCGTGGGAACATTCGATAGGCGACTCCGACTTGACACCACCCAGGGCCTCCCACGTCCACCTCCCAGTAGTGTCGACCCGACGAGAAGCTCTCGGAGCAGAGGGCTTCGTAGTACCAGTCGACCCTCTGTGGGCAACGATGGGGATGAGGCTGGCTGCCACCACTCCGTGTCATCGTGTGGCGGTCCAAGGATATCTCAAGTTTGTTATCGGCTAAGTTTGGGTCCAGAGTTGGTGAGCAACCATCTGAATGAACAATAATAATACATATACAATGTATTATATTACAGGAGGATAATAATAATAACACGAATCTGGTGTGAGAGCAAATATTCGCAGAATTTTTTTCTGTCTCCACATATAAATTAAATGTATTTTTTTCATCCCATCGACCAATTACCTATTTGTTTTCTAGACCAATATTATTTGGCAGTAGCGTTAGTCAAAGCAAACATCTTCTAAATGTAAAGATGTATGTATGTTGAATTTCTTTCGCACTGTACATAACAAACCTTGCTAATCAGAGGTGCGGGGAAGGATAACAAACTAGAGGCAAAGAAGATGCCCCACAACACAAACACTCTGATGTCCGACAGCACTCAAGAGCTTTGCACCAAAGAAACAACAATGCCCAGAATTCTCACTCATTCTGTGACTCAACCACTTTGAATGCCATTAATTCAAAAAGACTCACACAGAGACCCACAGACTCACACAGAGACCCATAGACTCACACAGAGACCCATAGACTCACACAGAGACCCATAGACTCACACAGAGACCCATATACTCACACAGAGACCCATAGACTCACAGAGACTCATATACTCACACGGAGAGCCATAGACTCACACAGAGACCCATAGACTTACACAGAGACCTATATACTCACACAGAGACCCATAGACTCACACAGAGACTGTACTCACACAGAGACCCAGACTCACACAAGAGACCCATAGACTCACATAAAAAACAATAGACTAAGAGACCCATAGACTCACAGAGACCCATAGACTCACACGGAGAGCCATAGACTCACACAGAGAGCCATAGACTTACACAGAGAGCCATAGACTCACACAGAGACTCATATACTCGCACAGAGACCCACAGACTCACACAGAGACTCATAGACTCACAGAGACCCATAGACTCACACAGAGAGCCATAGACTCACACAGAGACCCACAGACTCACAGAGACCCATAGACTCACACAGAGACCAATAGACTAACAGAGAGACCCATAGTCTCACACAGAGAGCCATAGACTCACATATAGAGCCATTGACTCACACAGAGACCCACAGACTCACAGAGACCCATAGACTCACACAGAGACCAATAGACTAACAGAGAGGCCCATAGTCTCACACAGAGAGCCATAGACTCACACAGAGAGCCATAGACTCACACAGAGCCCGCGTGAATGTGAACTCACACAGAGTGGAGAGCCTGAACTTCTCCACAACTCCACTCAGCCAGCTCATGTCATCAAGCACTGACAAGTCGCTGGGTGGGGGTGCGGGCGGGGGGGAGCGTTCGGTCCTGAGGACGAGAGAGCAGCGAGGACTCCACATGAGCACATTTAGCCAGGTGCGCTCCTATTCCACTTGCGGCAGCGGCGGGTGGAGGGAGGGGCTCATAGGAATATAGGATTATATAAAGTCAGCCAGTTGACATAAAGCAGTCCCTCGATTCACGTCTTTTTAATCCGTTCCACTAAAACTACCGTTCACCGAAATAGCTGTTAATCGAATAGAGAGCTGTTTCTACTGCCTAAAACAGAAAACGTAATGTAAACAAAGCCAGTCGAGGTCTAAACACTCATAAATGGGCGTCGCTGATTGGCTGAGGGCACGGCTCAGCCCCACTTAGGAACGCTTGGATTGGCCGAAATTGGCGCCCCGCATGCATAACGTAAACACATTACCGTCAATCAAAATGTTAACGTCAGTCGAAACCATGGAGCACTATGGGAGGTGAAACGTTAAACAAAAAAATGTTAACCGATGTCACTGTAAACTGAGGAACTACTACTCTTTATTTTTTTCGGTAAAGTCACGTAGGTAAAAAATTTAAATAAACTAAATCACGACGTTTCGGGCGCAATACAAGCGTCCTTAGCGAAAGCACACTGTATTGGGTAAAGCCCACTGAGCTAATCACTCTTTTTCAGAGGCAACCTGGCCACACATAATAGCTCATATCATACGTGGGAATGTATAGTAGCGGCCAAATAATGTAAGCGCATATTGATTCCCAATGTGGAGGAGGATGGGAGCAAAACCAGAGGAGAAACCTGGAGGACGATCCATGCTGAGAGCACCACAGGGAGAGAGAAAGAACACGCGGACTCCGAATATACAACAGGCATGGTCAGGGTGCGAGGTCGAACCCACGACCTCCTGCGTACCTGTATTTAATGCAGCGTGGCGAGCCGGGTTCACCTTAGTGGTGTGGAGCAACCCTCTATGTAATGCACACAACTCTGATACACAGAGAGAGAATCTCTCAGGGATTATGGCTCACTTGCTCTTAGGAAGCACTGGCCGGGAAGGTCAAGTATTTGCATTGACAGGGGACTTAAACGTGTTGTTCCGTTGCCCTGCTGCAGTCTAGCCAAGGGGACCCCAGAGGCAGCTGACCCTGTGCGGCACAATGTGTATGCAGCACCGGGTTCAATATGGGCAACCAGTCTGCTGGTATTGAGAGGTGTTAAGTTAATTTGCGAGTCACTTCTGAAATTTGGTCAAGTTTGACAGTGTGACACCACCACCACCACCACGGGATCTCACAACGTGTACCGCGCAGCCGAGGGCGTGCAGTGTTCACGGTGCGTCGTGTTAACCAGGGGCGGCGGCTGGGGCTCGAACCTGCCAACCACCGGCGCCCGCTGTTCGTCAAATGCGTCGCGAGTTCTGCTCCATTTGTCAGCTGGGCCGATCGCAGGCCACGAGTGGCTTCGACGGACGGCGCGACTCATTGCGAGGCCAACCCGGCAAACGATTGGATTAATTTGGTTCCTGACTTATGAAATCCCCCCACGTCGCTCGAGCATTCACACCGTGAGCAAACGCGGTCCCAGCCTGGTGGTTGCGCGCAACGAGCTCAGTGCCATACCTGAGCATCATCTTCATATGGCCCTGCGGGGAGAGAGGTTGAGCATTGTTAACCCTTTCCAATTCCGATGACGTCCGCAATTTGCAGGGTGGGTCCAGTTCACCGCTGAATCTCAGAATGTGCAAGCAGGTGAGCATTAACTTTACTTGGAGAGGCGTAGCACCGTTGTTTTTAAAGACATTGTACTCACCGCAGAGAACTGTAGTGACAGGACCACACTCTGCGATAGCTGGCGCCAAACTGCCACACGCCCTCTCGCCACACGCCCTCCCGCATGGCCTTTTGGGAGCCTCGGTACCGATAACGTTATTTAATTTTATAATCTTTATCGGTTTCGTTCCGATGACATACACGTTAGTACGTCATGGGAAAATGGTTAATAAAATCACATCGTCAATACGGATAGAGGAGTCCAGTAAGGTGCCGTGTAGACTCCAACTCGTTCAGGATTCAGCTGTTATCTTGTTATTACACTGAAACATGCCTTTTGAGTATTTGGCTGCTTTAAATTTCCACGTAATAAGCCACTTTGTTGAGCTATAATTTGTGGCCAGGTAACTAAGCGGGCCTTACCTGGTCAAATAAAAATAGTTTAGTTTAGTTTTAAGTCAAGTGTCGAGTGGACTATAAGATATTGCTGCTGACCCACAAGTCAATCAATGGGTTAGCCCCGCAATATTTCAGAATCAGAACCTTCATTCAAACTGGAGGAATCCGATGAGCTATGAAGCTCTTTTTTCACAGATATCCAGGAAGTGACCAAAGCAACACCTGCGAGCATGCCCTCACCTGCAGCGCCGTGAGCGAGCCGCTCTCCTGCGCGAGATGCCGCAGGCGATTGGCCGCCGCCTGGAGCTCGCCGACCTCCCGCGTGTAATAAGTGATGCTCTCATCGACGCAGACCAGCAGCTCGTGCCCCGCCACGTCCGTGCGACGCAACGACGCCACCTCGTCCTCGTCCAGCCTCGCCCTCATGCGGGCGAACTTGCCCGAAATGCGAGCCTTGGACCTGACGATGGAATCCTGCAGAAACGAGCGGTGGATTTTTTTTTCCGAATTCACATTTGGGACTCTAAATGGTCACAGATGTGTGCTGTGAATGTGATTGTAGTTCGTGCTGTTATAAATGCCGTATTAAATGCCACATGTGGGTTCCTCTCGTTAGCATCATGCATTATGTTATTTTGGATTGCTCACTGGATTTCCATTGTATAAAGTTCTGGTTGTTTAACAGTCATGTTTGTAAAATGTCATTCTCTGCAGCTCCTGTCAACCTTCCCATGCCATGTAACTTGCTCGTTACTGTCGTATCAGCTGTTCAATGCTGCCCCTGTAAACTGTGTATACCACATACCTGTCAACCGATTATCAGTGCCATACCTTTTTTGACATGGTTTCATTTAACTCACTCTGTCTGTTGTTGTCGTTGTCGTCGTTGTTGTATCCTCAAATCTTGTAACTCAATTTTAACCCACTTCCCAATGTGGTATCGACTGCAAACATGGTATACTTATGTCATACTGATGACAATAATATATTCTATTATAAAAAATGTATATATATTTTTAAACAATCTCTTTTTTTGTTATGTTTCGGCTTGGGTCTAATTGTCCTCGGTCAACTGACGTTGGCTGTAATTGACCACGATCCCTTACGTTGTGGCAAGCTTCGGGGCCACTTCCTGGAGTTGTGGAGTTCTTCCATTACTAGTACATTTCATAAAAGCGTGTTTAAAACTTTTTTTAAAAAAAAGTTTTTTTAAAAATGTTACTTTTACAGACCAACTCAGACCTTATTGGTCACCCCATGCCTTTATAAATCTCAACGTTCATCCTACAAAGTCCCATCACTACAAGGGAAAAACACAAACAAATAGATTTTTGTTGATATTTCCCCTTGTGATGACACCGTACGTAGCCAACCGTGCTATTTGGAGGTGCGGGATTCCAGACAAAGCAATAAAACGAGCAGAATCCATGAACTCAAGTGGAGACTCGTGGCTGGGGTAGAGAGAGATGGATGGGTTCAGTACCTGGTGTATTCTTATTGTGTCTCACCCACAGCAAGCCATGGAGTTAGTTATCCTGTCAGATGCTTTGAGGTGGGTCTCCAGTTGAGTTACCACACCGCAACTTTGATGTCATCATTGCTGCTTACGACTCAAGCAGCAATATCCACTGCAGTGCAATATCCTGTGTAGTTGCCTCACACTCAAGGAGAGTCAACAACTCCTCATAGAATCGGAATCGTTATTTATATTGTAGGAATCTGATGAGCTATAAAGCTCTTGTTCACAGATGTCCAGTGGGGGCACGGGGTAAGAGCGTTCCAACAACAAACAGTACAAACACACGATAGTCCTGCAAAGTACACGAAAGATAAATCACCCAAACGCATACAAATACAACTAAACCATCCCCACCCTACCAGGCAAAGTCCACTGAGGTGTTAACTTCTTTTTCAGAAGCAGCCTGGCCACAAGTGATAGCTGAACAAAGTTGCCCGTCATTTGGACATTTATAGGGTGGCAGTCACGGGGCCACAGAGGCTGGCCCAGACCGGGTACCTGCACGTCCTCGCGTGTGGCCTCCATCCGTCTAACGGTGGACACCGCCTCCTCCTCCATCCGTCTGACGGTGGCCACCGCCTCCTCCCTCTCCTCCACCGCTCGTGTCTCCTCTTCCACTCGTTTCTGAAAAAGACGCCGTGTTCGCCCCATGGCCGCGTGGATTTTGCTCCGAGTCCTGCAGTTTTTCCCTCGACAATTTAGACATACGTTTGGATTATTTAGAGTGTGTTTGGCTGCTATCAATTTCCACATAAGCCACTTTGTTGAGCCCAGGTCGCTTCTGAAAAATAAGTGAATAGCTTTGTGGGCTTTACCTAGTAAGAAAAAAAATTGTTTAGTTATATTTGTATATTTTAAATTGATTTGTTGACATTTCCTATACTTTGCACTCCTATCGTGTTATTTTAGTATTTGTTGTTTTAACGTTCTGATCAGCCCCTACTGGACATCTGTGAAAAAGAGCTTTATAGCTCATCGGATTCCTCCAGTATGAATACATATTTTGATTCGGATTCTGTAAGTTGTGTCACGTGAACAGAACGTGCCAATGCGTCACTACGATCGGCACACCGGTTGTGTGTTAATAAAGCAAACCCACAACATTTACAATTGATTACTCTCTTTCGCTGGTGATTACAACCAGCATCATCAGGCATTTGCCAAAAGTGTGACGATGTCTTCCTTCCCCTATTATTCTACTTAAAATCCAATCTCACACCACATGATGCGAGAAGAAATCGACGTTGGGCCTTGTTCATCCATAAAATCCTTATTGGGAAATCTGCGCTAAACTTAACTAATTCATGAACCCAATTGTTATATACTAGAATTATATACTTGATTTAACATATTTATTTTTAGTAATTTGCTTACCTTTACCATACTTTGCACTCATATCGTTATTTCTATCTTTTTCTGTGACTGTCAAACCTGCCCCTACTGGACATCTGTGTGTGTGTGTGGAGGGGGGGGGGAAGAGCTTGATAGCTTATCGGATTTCTGATTCAAACATCGAATCACGTTGTTGGGACTCAATGGGTTGCCCCCAAAGCTGGAGTTTGACTTCTACATTTGGAGGGTGGCTGCTGGGGTTCGCTTCGTCCCTCCACATTTAGAGACGTGCATCGAGATATTTGGATTATTTTGCTGCTGTGAATGTCCAAATAATGGGCCACTTTGTTGAGCTATCATTTGTGATAGCCAAGTCGCTTCTGACAATATAAGTTAATACCTCAGTGGGCTTTGCCTGGTAGGATGGGGATGGTTGGTTTCGTTTAATTTGTATGTGTTTGGGTGATGTTTTTGTTAAATTGTAATTTGCACGACTACCATGTTTTTCATAACTGTTTGTTGCTGTAACGTTCTTACCCCGTGCCGCTACTAGACATCTGTGAGAGCTTCGCAGTATGAACATCTTAAACAGCCTGATTGTGAACTCAGCCCACACCTCACGCGCCTCGCCCTCCTCCAGGGTGACGACGACTTCGTGCCCTATGCGCCCACCGCCGCCGCCGGCAGCGCTCGGCGGCCCCTCCGGGTGCCGCAGAACCCCAAACTCCTGCCGGGTGACCTCCCGCAACGTCGCTCCTCCGGGGCGTCCACGCCGGGCGCCGCCGGCACGGGGCCCACACGGCGTGGCGTTCCCGGCGCGAGGTCCGAGGTGGGGCGCGCGTGGCACGGGGCGGCCGGGGGTGCTCACGGGACTGCCGGGGGTGGTCACGTGACTACCGGGGGTGCTCACGTGACTACCGGGGGTACTCACGGGACTGCGGGGGGTGGTCACGTGACTACCGGGGGTACTCACGGGACTGCCGGGGGTACTCACGTGACTGCCGGGGGTGGTCACGTGACTGCCGGGGGCGGTCACGTGACTGCCGGGGGTACTCACGTGACTGCCGGGGGTACTCACGGGACTGCCGGGGGTACTCACGGGACTGCCGGCTCGCAGCCGCTCCACCATGCTGGCGAGCGCCACGCTCATCTTCAGCTGCGGCCGCACGTGGAAGACCGCTCGGCACTGCGGGCATCTGCTCGGGCTGTCCGCCGCCCGCCACGCGTCCTCGAGGCACTTGATACAGAAGGAGTGTCCGCAGCTGAGCGTTGAGGGGCAGGCGAAAGTGCTCAGGCAGATTGGGCACCTCAGGTCGATGTCTTCGTGCGCCATGGTCGGCAAGGACGCGCACTGTGGGTTGGGCAGAGGCGCCAAGCGAGCTGTTGTTGCAGAAAGAGGGACGTTGACAATGATTTACTACTGGTGAGTGAGGCAGGATGCTGGTTTACATTTATGACGCCAGGTGATGTGGCAACGACCTTTAGCTTACGCCTCCCCCACCCACCAACCCACCCACTCGGGTAACTATTGTAAATATAAAGTCTCGTCGTGCCAAAATACTTTACCGTTGGTACCCACGGTGATTATACAACACATACAAAACTCAACACATTTGCCACCAACACTGTTGCCTTACATGACGAAATATATAATCGGCGACGTTTCGGGCAATGATCCTCATTCAAAGCTCATTCTCCCACAAGGTACCGCCCTCTTGTGAACCAACGATTGGAGATTCGTGGCCCAATAATTGTACCGATGCAATACCCAAGGCTGATTGTTCAGTTTGACACTGCACAGAAGACGCTTGCTGTGTAACAAGCAGAGAAGGCGCCAAGGTTCTTGTTGTTGCTGAGCACAGGGGCCCAATGGGCCGAAACGTCAAGCGGCCAGCAACAAACAGCACGATCAAAGTTTGCAATAATGTAAGACTTGAGGAGACCTAAGTCCATAGTTCAGTGCTCTTCGCTAATGTTCGGAGATGGGGTGGGGGTGGCCCTTTCGCCGAGAAGACAACTCCATTGTGGGCACGATGGTGATGTCGGTGGGGGGTGTTTTCACTCTTTGTGTATTGTTGAGGGCCGCACTAAAGGCCACCAGGGGCCCGCGCGCCTTCCAATGGAGAGCAGAGGCATAGACCATGCATGGTGCTGCTCATAGAGAGACGTTACGGTCAAACACGGTTGTACTGTACTCTGATCGACCTGGCACTCGCCACTGTAATGTGGACTTTCCAGCCTTGCCCCTGCGTCGTAGCAACGTTAGTTTAGTCAGGGACGCACGATTATGGCTTATGACTTAAACCCAAACGTCTTGAAGGGGTTAAGTTTTAGGGAAAACCACGTGGATGTCGCGCCCAGCGTTAATCCAGAATCCTGATGCGGTACAGCCACCCCGCTTCTTCCGGCTGTCACGAACACTACCGAGAGAGCTACCCGCGTCTGATTGGCCCAATGGGATCACGCGACACAGTCCGCGTCCAGGAGTGGAGTCGCAGATTGCGAATCCAGGAGCCGTGGAGACGCGACCGCCCGTCACCTAAGCCAGGAGCTTCCCGTCAATCTTGTAAGCTGTAAATCTTAAGTTGTTGTTTTCGGTGAAATGTCATAGTTTGCATTCATCAACATTCTGCGATGTATAATTTATGTAAAAAAATAGTCTGTTTCCATACTCGTTATACAATGTGGGCCTTTTCAGTGACAGTCACGTGACTCGAATAAGGACGTCATCACTCGTCTATATTTTTTTGTTGTTGACGTCATGTATCTAGGTCAACGCGCCGGTGACGTCTACGGGAGCGTCGTGACGTCAATTTCCACTTCCCCATTCCGCCCTCGCGTGACGTCACTTAGCCGCGCGACCCCCCCCCTCCACCCCGCTCGCCCGCCTTCCCCCTCCAATTGGTCGAGGCCGCCTCGCGCCATGACGCGCGCTCTTCGTCACGTGATGGCGGTGGCCAACGGGGTCGTCGCGGGGCGGGGCCTGTGTCGCGCGCTCCTCGCTTCGTCCGCGCAGAGAAGGTGAACAGTCCCAGAGGGCGCGGGGGCCGTGGGGGGGGAGGGGGGAGGGTGTGAAGCGGCCGGTGGAGCTAAGTAAGTGGAGCTAAAGTAGTTCCCGACACATTCGATTACAATCGGCTGGTGGGTGGTGAAGGCCTTCAGTGAGCCCGCACGCACAGTGAAGCGATTTACAGTGTTTCACGTGCTGAGGTAAGCGTGCTTTACATGTTGATACTATGAAGAAATTGGCTATTGCTTGAAACGTCGCCTATAAAAAATATATATTTACATGAAGGCCACGCGGTGTTGTTGAGGTTTTTGTGTTATTTGTGCACCACGTAATATTAAATAATGCATGATTATATTATCTGCGTGGCTTTTCATCAAGGATCTCTAAGCTCCATACGGGAATACAGCAGCAGCCAGACACTCGGCATACAAATAATATAAATACATTTACAAAATAATTTACTAAAAGTTAAATAAGCTCAGTGATTGTATTACGCTTGTACTGTATAAAGTAATGAATAATGAAGTCGACATTTAAATGCAGCCTTTTGCATTGCTAAGGGTAAATCGGGGGTTGAAAATGTCTGTTTATGTTCGGGAGTTGCTGAGGGAAAGATTTTAAGAACGTGAATGTGAGAAGATTTGTTGTTGTTATTGTGTAGCGTTGTGTAGAATAACATTGTTATTCATTAACACAACAACGTTGAGGATTGCGTGAAGCCAGCGTAGGTTCCCATTTTAAAGAGCGCCGCTTTAATTGTTTTGTTTACATTAAATGTAACCTTTAAAAGTGAAATAGTTAATTTCCCAAATTATTTTACTCCAATTAATGTCATTGTTGACTTGAGTTCCAAGTACAGTACTGTAATGGTCGAACCCTTGTATGTACTGTGTGTTTAATTTCTTTCGCACCGTACGTAATGTAGTATGTGTAGTGTATAGTGTAATTAGTGTGGAGTGTATAATGTAGTGTATAATGTAGTATGTGGAGTGCAGAGAGGGGCCGTCAGGGCCAGCACGGCCTTCTCTGCTGGCCTAGAGATTGTCAGGATCATAAAATAATATATTTTTTAAATTTAATACATTTTCATAAATGCTATACAGTATTGGTGTTTTACAAAGTTCGTTCCCATGAGTCTATTGACATCATTTCATTGCTACTCCCTCAGTTGCGCTGCTTCCAGTGCAGCTAATAAATTAGAGCTTTTATCCAATCAGATTCTCCACCTGTGCTGTCTCCGCCTCTACGGGTGAAAAATCGACCCTGAGGCCTTCAGAATGTCGAGTGAATCCCCTCTGCTGTTGAAGCAAATGGGGACGATGTTGAGTGTCATCTTCTTTAACCAATCAGATGTCGAGTTTGCCATGGTGGGCGTGTTCTTTGACACGCCGGAGCCGTCTAGCTGGCCGAGCCACCTATGTTAGCCCTGTTCGTGTGGCGTGATTGGAGGGACCAGTTAGCTAACTGAAGTAAAACTAGCTAGCACGTAACGTAGCATCATCTAAAATGTATTGAAACTTTGGTGACGTTTAGATTTTTAGATGTAGTGCTTCGAATTTTTTTTGTGGGGAAGCCTGTTGAATCCTGATTGTGTTATTTGTGTTTTACGGCATTTTTGCTTGCTTGGTGGTCGTATGTTGTGATTTACATTATGAGACCTCCTTTGCCAGTAACAAGATAGAGTAATAGGTTTTTACCCTTTTATCTGGCACAAAAACTGATACCTTTATACAAGGAATCATGTTTGCAATAACCACAATACAAGCAGTCAAAATGCAAACAAAAAAGACAACTCTGATAATGATATGTACTGTCCTTGAATTTGATTGGTCCACACTCGAGACGGCTTTTCTTAGAGCCTAGTCTCCACTGGTGTTGGACCAGATGACGCCTTTTGGCTAAATTATATGCTAATTCCTTTGTCAAGGCGCTTTGTTTCTCTCACACAGCTTAAAGGCCGTATCTGAACGTGGCTCTTTCACTCCAGCGCTGTCCTACCAGACAGTCTCGCCCCCTTCACCTGATGAAGGCCGCTTGTGTTGTGGCCGAAACGTCGTGAGAATATTATTGTGTTATTTTATTTTATCAATTTATTATTTTATTATCATTCTACGTGACTTTACCGAAAGAACCAAAGAAGTTGCTTTAACACGTAGGCTTTCGCGACCAATATCCATAATACAGGTTTTTTGGGTTAGATCGCGTAAATATACGTGTCATTAAACCCACCACTACCGGACACAGCCAGTTAGTAAGGGTTGTCACGTGAACAGAGCGTGCCAATTTGTGACTAGTTGGAGAGCCAAGCCACAACTATGTGGCTTGGCTCTCCCAACACACCGGTGTACTGTACTAACGATAAGAGTGCAAAATAGATTAAAAAGGAAGCCACTAAATATGAATGAATACAAAATAAATGTATAATATAAGTTCGATTTATCAAGCAAAAACAGTTCCAGACCACACCAAGATAACACCACACAGTAGCCAGTCCCTCAATAAAACTACACATTAACATGGATACTACACAAGTACGGAACGGAGTTACAGCAGTCGCATTAGCAAATGTGACTGCTGTATCCAGCACTAATCTGCTTCAGGATAGTTTTTTGAGGGGAGATTTACGACGTTAAGCGAGGAAGCCAGGTTAGAACCCACGGGCTTGCCGCACCACGTGTTCCACCAGCGATTCCTCCGGAGCGTCCCAGCCAGTGCCACACCGATGACCCGCGTCCCTACCCTCCCCCCCCCCCACACCGCCACCGCAAGGCTGAGCAGCTTCTTTGGCGGCGAGATGCCGGCGGGAGACACGGCGGGGCTGGACGGGCGCCAGGTGGAACTGCTGGCCGAGATGTGCATCCTGGTGGACCGGGACGACCGTCCCGTGGGCGCCGACACCAAGAAGAACTGCCACCTCAACGAGAATATCCACAAAGGTCCAGCGGCGCATGCGCGCCACCGCCGCAAGCATTTCCATTGCGCAACTTGTCGTATTCTCCGGGTTATGAGACTCGCCTTTCTCCCCCGTGTGTTTTGACGGTACATTTGGGGGTGGTGCTTGTAATCTGGTAGGTGTCGACGTCCCGCCACGTTGGCTAGGAGATGTTATCTCCCTCGCCTGGTATGCAGGAGGCAGTGGGTTCGATCCTCACCCTGACGCCTGCTGTATATTTGGCTGCGATAAATGCTGCTATGAATTTCAACGTGGTGGTAAACCACTCGTTGAGCTATCATTTGTGGCCAGGTCACTTCTGAAAAAGAGCTACATGGCTCAGTGGGCCCTTCCTGGTAAAATAAAAAATGTTTCGAATTTTTTTACAACTTAATTGGCACCGGGCACAAGTTTAGGGGGTTGGCGTCTAGTTCGGAGTACGCCGTGATCGATTGCGGTCGAGTGGTGGCGCTGCTGTTGGTACACAGAGGGAGGGCGTGCGGGCGGGGAACGAACGTTGCTGACTTGAGTGGTGCGTGCGTGCGTCCGCTGTGCAGGCATGCTGCACCGAGCCTTCAGCGTCTTCCTGTTCAACAGCAAGAATGAGCTGCTGCTGCAGCAGCGCTCGGACGCCAAGATCACCTTCCCAGGTGCGTGCACCCTAGGTGCGCTGTCGACACGGCCCTCCGTTCATCACAGGGGATCTTTGAGTGCTGTCCCCTCGTTTTCATGGGTTTTCGCCGTGTTCGTCGATTTTCTCCCAGAGTGAGTATCGGTGCGACTGTCTTGGAAAAATGAATGCAATGACTGTCAATATTATTATACCATTGGGGGTGGCTGTCCCTGGAAATGTGCAGGAGACGGGGTTAGGGGTTACTCTAAGGATTGTGAGTGAACTAGTATTGGTGACTGGTTTACAAGTTGGTTAGGAGTAGAGGTATGTCTGGTATTAGTAACTGGTTGGCTAGTTGGTTAGAGGTATGTCTAGTACGAGTGACTGGTATTGGCTAGTTGGTTAGTATGTCTAATATTTGTGGCTGGTTGGCTAGTTTGTTCAGGCCAGGGGTACATTCTCTCTGTGTCTCTTTGTGCACACTGCTGCGTGTTGTTGCTGGCGTGCCCCTGGGCCTGCAGGCTGCTTCACAAACACGTGCTGCAGCCACCCCCTGCACGTCGACTCGGAGATGAGGGAGGAGGCGGCGCTGGGAGTGCGGAATGCGGCTCAGCGCCGGCTGCACCAGGAGCTCGGCATCCCCATGGAGCAGGTGGGGACACGGGCTGATGAGGCACTCTTGTTACCGGGTGCCACGGTGGCGAGATGTTAACTACCTTGCCTTGTGTACAGGAGGTCGTGGGTTTAATCCAGACACTGACGCCTGTATGTCTCGCTCTCCTCCTGTAGTCATGTGGATTCTTCTCTGGGTTTTCCAGTTTTTCTCTCCACATTTAGAATCAACACGTATTTAGAGTATTTGGCATGCTATAAATTTCCACATAAGCCACTTCATTGAGCTATCATTTGTGGCCAGGTCACTTCTAAAAAAGAACTATATATCTCAGTGGGCCTTAACTGGTAAATTAAAAACGTGTTTAGTATTTAGTTGAGTGGAGGAGAACACTGGTGGTGGTGGTGTTTAGCCAATATTAGACTGGGCATGGAGTAATGAAGTTGGACCAATGCACACTTAGTCCAAATTTAATTTCGGCTTTGTTCAACGAGCTGGGCTGAGCATGCGCTGTTAACAGCAGTAGCAGACAGCAGCCGCTTCCTAGCCTTGCTGTTACGAGCCTCGAATCTGCAGCCAGCCACGTATCAATCATTCTCCACAGCCTCCAGCCTTCACAGCAGTAGCAGCAGTCGCTGACCCACCACCACTCTTGACTACCACAGCCAGGTGCCCTGTGTGCTGGCAGCGGTGGTCTTCTCCCTATTGTGTGCCAAGAGGCATTTCCAAAACGTTGCAGAATTTGTAACGTGCACGGAGGTGCGGGGTAACCCACGGACAAGCGAGCATGCAACCAGAGCCGGCACAAACAGTTGCCCGAGCTCCGTGGTCCTATATTTGGACGTTTGGCCAATGTCATCGTGAATCGGCAGGTGACCCCCGAGGAGCTAACGTACCTGACGCGCATCCACTACGAGGCTGCGTCCGACGGGGTGTGGGGCGAGCACGAGGTGGACTACATTCTCTTCGCGCGCAAGGACGTGGAGGTGACGCCCGACCCCAACGAGGTGCAGAGCGTGCGCTACGTGACGCCGGACGGCCTGCGCGAGCTGCTGGCACGCGCGCGCGACGGCTCCGCCCTCGTCACACCCTGGTTCCGTCTCATCGCCGAGTCCTTCCTCTTCCGCTGGTGGGACAACCTGCACGACCTGGAGTCTTTTAAGGACCACGCCACCATCCACCGCATGTGATGAGGAAGGCGTGGGGGCGAGGAGAGCCCCGGGGCAAACGGAGAGGCCCGGCCGATAGGCCTGTGTCTGGCGAATATGGAGCAGTGGCGATTGTGCGAAAGGGTCTGACAGGGGGGCATGGGTCCACCCCCTCACCAATGAGCAGCAGTGCCCCCCCCCTAAAGTGTCTCTTTATTCAGAGGCAGATTCTGAAGAGCAACCGGGGAAGCACGTGCGCTGAAGAAGTGATCCCGGTCAATGCTGCTGCTGCTGCTGATGTCACCACACCTCATTGTTATTTCCTCTACTCTGCCACAGAGTGACAAATTAGACACGAGACCTCGGTCTCCTTGTAGTATCATCACCACTTTCTGGATTTAGGTTTTCCACTTGTCACGTGGTTGGCACGTCCTTCATTGACAGCTGTACATTTCCATCGTTATCTGTCGTTGCATTCTCTTCATGTTAAAAGTCAACATGTCCTTGAAAGGCCGCTTTTACTGTCATCACCAACAGCACCTGGTTTTCGGTCTTCTCTTCCCCTTGCTTGCCGACTTCCTGGAAGCCACCCCAATGCCCATCTCGGTCACCTGTACGTCTCCGTCCTGCACCTCACCATCCTGCACCTCACCGTCCTGCACCTCACCGTCCTGACGTCCTCTTTCTGATCACTTCAACAGGAATCTCTTGCCGTGTTCTATTCCCAACCTCAAAGTTGCGTACCCTCTCCTCCTCCATCCTGTGTGTACATGTCTCACTTCTTTCCTGATTACACCTACAACCTTTTTGTATATCACGTTCTGTTCGAACTTTCAAGTCGCTTAATCTGTCCTATGGCGAATTGGCTCGCATCCTCCACATTGTGGAGGCAACAAACTCCATTTCTCATCGTTTATGTAGACACAATCATCATCATTATCGCGGCTCTATCCACTGCTAAATGAAGGCCTCCCCATTCCATTGCCATGTCATGGCCTCGCGATGGTATAATTAAATCCAGCATCTCCGCTTGTGCGAATGCAATCTCCTGTGGACGTCTTCTCGAACGCGTTTCCCTCCTTCGGCTGCCACTCTTTCCGTAGTCTCAGCCAATCATGCCTTCTGCCAAAGCCCACTCTGCTTACTGGTGATGTCTTTTGTCTTGAGTGTGTTCCCTAATCCACGTGTTCCTCTTCCTACTCTGTAATTTGGAGGGTGCGCACCTCTTCTGTGCTTGCGCCTCTTCATGGTTTTTGTTGTAATATGCACAATGCATCTTATGGGCCACAAACACAAATGCTATTTTGGTCCAATGAAGTTTTACATTGAGGATTGGGTGTATCGGCGAGTGCCTCCCCTGTCCACCACTATTTTCTGAATCGACAGCTGCTGTGCAATGAGTCGGCAGTTTTACCCCAAGCCCCGAAGCTGGTATTGTCCTTGTCGGTTTACGTAGATTTTACTTCGTGTGCGGATGTTTTAATCGCGGATGAAACTGATTCGTCTCGGCCGATTTCTTGAAACTACTAAAACTCGCTGCTTGAGTAATTTGAAAAAAAGTTACCCGTAAATTACTCATTCTACGGAGCATTCATCACCCTCCCACTGCGAAAGCTTGGCAGGACCCTCTTGAGAGATTCATGAGACTCGGTAAGACTTTGCTGGGTTAACGAGCGTAATCCTAATAACATTTACCAAGATGTTTAGACTGAACACAACTAGGCTTGCGCCTCAGCATTTGTGTACGAATGCCTCCGGTTTCCGTTGACGCGACACGTAAACTGCAGTGGAAAGGTCTGCGGAAAACTCCGCACAATGTCGATCAAAGTGTCTCCAAGCTCATGGGAGCTTTGAGACGATGCTCTTGACCGTTCATGGTCAAACAATTCCACATTCTTATGGCAGTGGCCAGTCCATCTCGCGAGAGGATGACCACCGTTCATCAGTAGATTCTTCGAGGCGCCTCACCTCTGCGCATGATTGTGCCTCTTGTCAAGTTGCGGGTGTTTCTTTTTGTGTGTTTCACGGTTGTTGAGCATGGGCCCGAAAACACTTCGGCAACTAGCGGCGCTCGTGAAGGCGTCATGGATTCGAGTTTGCGTTTCTCAGATTGAGGACTGCTCCGCGAACTTGATTCGTCTTAGGAAGCTTGAGAAAGGAGACAACGGGAGTTTTGAAATGGAGTGGAGCTTGGAAAGCAGTAGAACCCTAGCGGAGTTGGGTGGCTGAACGTGGTGTGGAAGAGGCAAAGCGGTCGGTCCAAATAGATTCTCTTCTCCCCCCCGCTGTAAGGCATGGGTGGAGGGATCGATAGCCGTTCATGGGAAGTCACCATGGTGGTAGCTGCAGAAGAGGTATGCATTGAGTGTTAAACGTGTAAGAGGCTCGTGTACTTTATCTGTAAGAGGCTGCAGCATTGTCAGTTGGTGTCAACAGCTTGGTTGCAATCGCCTACAACAGCAGTGGCAGTAATTGCATCGCCTGCACTGCCCGGAGCCAATTTACAAGTGGCTGAAAATGAGGCAGCAACATGTGGCTGTTGCAGGCAGTCGTGAGAGGTGATGTGTAGCGATAAGCCTCTTGGCTGTTCCCTATTGGGAAATTGTGTAGGGGAATGTGGAATAGGGCTTGCTTCCTCTCTAATGCATAATGCTAAAAATGGAATGTAGAGAATAAATCTTTCAACACGGTCCTGCTTCCCAGCCTCATCTAACGGGATTGAACATGCGAGGGTTCATGTTAAGTGTGGTGTAGACACGAACTAACAAACGTGATATCCCTGGTCCAGTTGTGCCACTGGGCTGAGATGTGAATACCTCACCTGGTATACAGGTCGCTGGGTTTGAGCCCCACTCTAAAAAGACATTGAGTGGTCATTTTACAACTTGACAGCGGAACATAAACTATAGCTCGACACCGCTAGGTTTTCGAATTTGAGAAGTTGCAACAAGCCCTTATTCGTGTTACCCAACAGCGGTAATCAACCTTTGCCACCACCATCAAGACCAGTCACTGGTCTCCGCTCCCAAAAACTCCTAACGTTGCCAAGGCCACACTACACAGATCACGTTTACGCCTCGAGTCAATGTGAAGCAATGACTTTCACGTTGTGTTTTGTTCGACACGTTATGTATTAATGTATCAGTGCGTTTTATGGCCGCTGACATTCCCCGCGCACAATGTATCCTGCACAGTATCCATGCCACCCCCCCCAATAACCGCAAACCCACGAGGTTGAAAATGGCCACCGTCTTGTGCCCACTACCCCCCCCCCCCCATCTTTTATAAAGGTGCATAGGCAGCAAAAGAAAACGCAGTAAGGAGCACACGGTATGTACATGTTTTTTTAATTGTCAGCGGAGCGATACAATCACCCACCACTCCGAGGCACAGTCACACAAACACATTTGTCATATTTCATTGGGTTTGTATTTTGCGTCATCTGCTTCAGTTTCTTACTCTTGTTGCCCACCGAGTCCAGCAGCACTTGTGACCATCGCTGTTATACACAGGGCAAACGGGCAGGAAACTGATCCTGAATACAATCACGTACTTGTTTATAACTTTGATAATGTTATTGTTATTTTGCGTTAACGTTTTTGTACGTTTTCTGTCATTACCAACTGCCCTATTCAAGACCTGAAAGAGAGACAGGCGGCACTAATACAGCCTTCCAATTATTTACACGCACACACATTAAGAGGGAGGAGGGGGGAATAAAACCGAAACTCAAAAGTGTGAAGTTATGCAAGTCAAGCAGGACACACAAGCAACAACCCTCGCTCAGCCCTTAAGTCAAGCTCGAGCTAGCCCAGCCCGCAGCACCCTCCAATGTAGTCCATGGGTCAGAGCAGAACTGGGTTACAACCTGAAAGAGAGCCACAGTTTCGTGGTACTGATTTATTCATACGAGTATTGAGACGATTATTGATAAAACACATTTTGCACTCTTGGATGGCCACGCAAAATGATTGGAACCCACTCACGTAATGCCACCTCGGGGGGAAGGGGCGGTACCGTTTAGGTGAGATCTGATTTGGGCTCATGGACTAACAAAAGCCCCTCCCCCGGTTTGAGTAGCTGAGAGTGCAGCTGCACCCAACCAGAGACCACCAGGCACAGGGAGCCCAAGGTCAGCTCAAGCATGATGGGGCCCGCATGCTCACCATGTCACTTGCCAACAAGTCCAGCACATTTGCAAAATAACGACCAGACAGGCGCTCGTGCCCTGACGCAATGCGCAGCGTTGGGCTCGCAGCGAGAGCTGGACAGGTCTGCGCGCAAGCCGTGTGCTCTGGCGTGCACAACCGCATGCAATGGGTCCTACTACAAGAGGGCAGTGGTTCCAACCTGTCTGAACCTGCAGGACCACAGCCAACTCCCAAAATTCGACTGCGGCCTGTCATATGCACCAATAATATTTCAACAATCCAAGGACGGTACTCCGAGGGCTGTACAATGTAAATGGCAAAAGCCAGATAGACTTAACGCTTTCCCATTCCAACATGGTTGCAAGTTGCATGGTGGGTGTCCAGCTCACCGCTAAATCTCAGAACGCGCAAGCGGTTAGCGTACATTTTATTCAGCAGCGTTTTTAAAGACATTGTACTTGCCACACAGAACCGTAGCGACACGACCGCTCTCAATATCTGGCGCCAAATTGTGCTGCCCCCTCCCTCATGGCCTTGTGGGAGCCTTGGTACCGTTCAGTAATTCTTCCGACGACGTAGGTGCACATCGTAACATACATGTACGGCCATGGGAATGGGTTAACTTGCTCTTTATTGTCTCATGTATAATGGAAAGTTGTGCAATGGACAGGACATCATTTAGGTGCATCTGAAATCGTTTGGTGGACCACTTCTCACGACATCACAGACCACTACTGGTCCATGGGCCACAGGTGTGGTGGAACCACTGCACTAGAGGTCACCTTTATCATGCAAATCGGCTCCCATAGGGCTCTGCTTAGAGCAATTAATACAATAATCTGTTACACCATGCAAGATCAATGAGACTTCAGTGCACCAGCCTATGGGCCTTCTGCGCCAGAGCACGGCAGGTCTTCAATGTTGCGCCGTACGGCTTTACAACGCGGTTTTGGGTTGTATCGCTACGTGAAAGTTCTGAAACAAGTCTGACGTTTCGCTTCACGTGCTGGGAGTTTCCTCAGGAACTGAACTTCAGTTCCCGACAACACGTCGGAGAGCAATGTAAAGCCTTGATTTTGCAATTTTCTATTCTTGGTTCTTTCGGTAAAGTCACATAGATAATAAATTAAAAATAAAAGCAAAAAACCTCCACACAGCTTTGCTCACTTTGAAAGCCCTTAAGCAGTTGCATTTGGAGGCTTGTCCCCTCTTTTCTCTCCACCTGATGAAGACCGCTTGTGTTGCAATCGAAACGTCGTGGTTTGCTTTTATTTTTTAATTATATTTTTTCTTTTTCGATCTCCGTGACTTTACTAAAAGAACCAAGAAAATGAATTCCTACAGTCACGAAAGTTAAGTAAAATTTTTACCATTTTGCCTTTGTAGACCAAACATCTTGTTGATTTGACTGGGGGCAGTTTAAACAGCTTGATAACTTTGCCTGCTAATATATATCTTGCCAGAAAACAAGGGATGATACCAGTACACGTGCGTTTTATCTTTACATGGTGCCGGAAACAGACCGGTGACTGCCCCCTTGCAATTTGCTGAACTCGCTTTGCCCACAATCACAAGCGCACAATGCATTGTGGGGTTCAAGTGAATGGGGAACTGTGGAGTGGGGGGGGGCGAGGTGGTTGAGAAGGCAAACTTGGTTCGTTCGTTTGATTCGCAGCCACAAGGCCACGGGCCAAACTACGATTCGGTTCACCGCAAAGTGGCAAAAACTCAGCGGTCACAATTGATCAACACAGCCGATAACACCGAGTTTGTGATAACACGTAGACTTGTATAATGGTGATTTACAGGCGGTTTTAAAGCTGCTGTTGGATGAAGGCCTCTTTGCGGTGTGTGCTGGTCATGAGGGTCGTTTGACCGAACTTCACCACGCTGGTCAATGCGTCTTGGTGGAGGCGGGGAGTTGTAGGACCAGTTCGGATATCATTCACCGCTAATATCGGTCGCTGATGGAAATTGAACGCAGGGAGGCGGGTTCGTTGAGAATCTATGCGCTACCCCTCCTAAGTTGAAGAGCTTATCAAGTATTTGTATCAGCTGTGTAAAGAGATCATGAACCACTAAAGTGTGGCCAACGCGAGTGGCACTTGGCAGGGCAGACGTCTAGTCTGCACCCGCTAACTGTTGCAAATTGGTTACGCCACAAATCTTATCGAAAATTAAAGCCTCATTTGCCGGCAAATCGGTTTATCGGCTACGCTTTGACCAAACCGTTTGTGTGGAAGCCGTCTTTACAACAAAGCCATTGCGAACCATAAACGCGCTTCAATGGTGTTTACATTTGTCAAACAATTTGGTCAACACAGTGGCGTCAAACAGATACTCATTGAATCTGGGTACAAACCAAATCCCCCCACGCTCCCATTCCAGATTCTTGTGCATTCCACTCCAACAGACCACGCACATCTTCAACAGTCAGGATATCCCCGTCAGAGACAAGCCGAGCGGGCCAAACTAACGCGATCATTCTCTCATCGCTACCATCACGACTCATCATCACAAGTGCTCCCAGTTTTGTCCCAACAAGCTTCGGAGCGAAACACATTCAAGTAACACATTACCATGACCACCTCCCCGCTCCGCCTCACCATATCTCGAGTTGTGACACCTGCCCCAGCCACAACAACCACTGGCTCGGCATGTTTACCAATCGCGACGGCGACTTGCAATTCGCAACAGCTCATCCCCACCCACCAGCATATCCCAGTTGGTTGCCTAAACGTGCAATACGGCCGCTGCAAAGTTCAGCTCCGTCGCGCTGGTGGTTTAGACAAGGCCGAGAGCGTTCATGCATGCAATGGGTGTGTTCACATGACAGGCGTGCTCAGCAAGGCATGATGGGAGTCGTGGTTTTCCTGCCACGTGCGGGGACACGGCAACACCGCCGCCGTTGTTCAAGTCGACCGGTGCACACGCGCGGGCCAAAATGCGCATCGCTATCGCCATTAACGTGAAACTTTGTAATTAATTGGTTGTGAGGGTTCGTTTGAACCTAAACAACCACCGCTAACACATCCCCCTGAAGTTGTATTGATAAGAGAAGAGAAATCCTTTCACCCGTGGGCGCACCAACACGGGAAGGAGGATAGAGTGCGTGGGAAACGACAAACAGGAGAGGGACGCATGTCCCCGAGATGCACCAAAAGGTCGCGGTTCAATAGGAGCAGCAGGAAACTTTAAACGGAACTATTTTTGTATCTTACCAGGTATGGTCCACTGAACTGTGTAGCTCCTTTTCAGAAGAGACCTGGCCACAAATGATAGCTCAACGAAGTGGATTACGACGTGGATAATTATAACCACCAACTACTCGAAATGCATGATTCTAAATGAGGACCCAGAGAACAATCCACGCGACCACGGAGAGAACACCGCAAACTCCAAATATACAGCGGGCGTCAGGGTCGTGATCCAACCCACAGACGTCCTGTATACCAGGTGATGTAGTTAACATCTCCTAGCCACTGTGAAGGGGAGAATGACCGGGCCAATGTGCCGGGGATGATGAGAAGGGAGGAAAGAGAGGACCACAAGGGAGCTGCTAGGAGAGGGCAGCGATTCAGAGTGCGGGTGGCTATGCAGAAGTCACGTGATATACAGGAGGCTTGAGCTGATTTAGGTAGGAGATATATAGACTATAAGGGATAGATTCAGCGGTGGTGGCCACACAGAAGTGACGTGATTTACGGCAAACATGTGCAGTCAGATTGTAGTCTTGGGCACAATGCCGGACGTTCCCGTTCCACGTGCTGGGAACTTCTTCAGCACCGTGGAGCGAAACGTCACGATAGCATGCAGAGCAACACCCAATTGCAGCAACCCAAACACACGGCGGAGCACCGTGCAGCGACCGCCAAATCCCACGCAACTGTTGTGACACCGCGGCCGGTCAAGCGGGCGCGTAGCGGTGGATCAACGGTCACTGAGGCGAGGAAGGCGAGGTGAACTTTAACCCACGGAGAAGTCAGACGCCCCATATAGGTGGGCCGCGCGTGCGTAAACACACAATCAGCCACTCAGCACACACACAGCGCACACACAGCCACACACAGCCACACACACCGCGCGTGCACACACAGCCACACACGCCGCGCGCGCGCACACACAGCCCCACATTCATTGGCTTCGAGCAAAATAATCATAGCGGATACACGAGAGCCATACAGAAAGGTGCGAGTTACATAGCGTACACACACGTGTACGTGCTTGTACAGCCACACTACACATACGCATATGCACAACACGCGTCGGCGTGCGTGTGTATAAATATACAATCGTGTGCACGAGAAGCGGCGGAGGCGTTTTCCACTACAATTATTTGCAAAAGCTGTGGTGCAGTGGCACCATGCCAGAGTTTGATTCCTGGCAGGAGCAACCGTCAGGTCCCAGTGTACTGCTCGAACGAGCATTGGGCAGTACCAGTTTATAGCCAGTAGTGGAAATTCCACATTCCCATGGCAGAGACGTCCAT